GCGATGTCGATCACAAATTCCGCCAGAACTTTCTCCTTGATCCCCAAGTGGTTCTCCAACTCTGTGGTTGAAAACGGGGTGCCAAAATTCAGCAAAGGGAACGAGCGGGGCGATGGAACTTGGGGGAAGCTGTGCAACTGCCAATCTGCAATCTCGATTCTGATTGACTTGAACGCTGAGCGCATCTTTTGGTGCCGCCGAGTCCATTGCCCCCAGGCAATTCTTGCTCCAGGCCCATACAACTCTTGCTCTCCGCCGGTCAACTGCAGTGACGCCCATTGATTGATTCCCCGCCACGAACAAGGGAAACCTTCCCCCCCCCTGCGTTCATGCGCACCGGCGGGCGAGGCTCTGCACAAGTCGAAGGCCTCAGAGGCCCCTTCAAATCATCCCGCGCAGCCTCGACGGTGAGCAGGGCCATCCCACACCCAGCAACCCCGCAATCGCGAAAACCCACCCTGCCGGCATTTCCCTGTTGCCAACTCCGCACCAACAGCCGGCCCCCTGCATCACGCGCCGAACCAATCCGCCTCGGGATCGGCTCGCTCCGTCCACCCATTGATTGCGTGCCTTCTCCAAGGAATCGCAGCCGGCCGAAAACCCGCCAAAGTCGACCCAAAGAGCGCGAAAATCGACCGAACCATCGCACAGCCCACTCGGCCCGCTCCGTCCCACCCATTGATTGCCTGCCCTCCCTCGGGGATCGCAAACCTACCCCAGAAAACGCAAACAGCGTCCCAAAAAACGGAAAATCGACCCAAAAACGCAAAAATTGACCCAAGAACGCAAACAAAGAGACCCCTTTTTTCGCGGCGACCGTGCAGGGGGAAGGGGCTGGGGCGTTAAGGGGATCGCACCTGATGTGATCTTGTTGACGAGCGACAGGAATCGCAGCTTCTGCACCTCGGGGAGCGCCATGGCTCCCGGGCCGTGGGAGTCGGGCGTCCGCCGCGCCCCGCGACGCGGCAACCAGGGCAAAGAGCGTGGGAGCCCGGGTAAAAAAAACGCGCATGAAAATGAGACAATGAGCGCGAATGTGCGGGGTTAGTGTTACGCGCGACGCGGGCCGTTTCGCCGAATCGAGGCGGTCTTGCAATTGAGGCACGTGGGTGCCCATTAGTTTCAATGTTGCCTTTTGGCCCTATCTCATTCTGTCAGGCAATCATCGCGTAGTCTATTGGACGATGCGTTCTTCTAGGAAGGACTATCTTGTACCATTTGTCATACTATCTTTCCTTGTCTCCTACCTTATGTACAAGAGACTATCTTATGTCCTATCTCTCCTCGTTGGGAGGCTGTTCTAAAATATTACATCGCTGGAATGTGATGCAGTATTTTGGAATCAATGACAAAACAAAGTGCATGAGACTCTTTTCCGTAGTTTGACAGGATGGTGCAAAACCTCCGGGTGCAAGACGATGAGCACAAAACGCGAACAGCGGACGGTGATCTCTACACACAGTGTGGAAACATGGTAATGCCTATGCTTCGGACAGACCACACAGTATTGAGATTGCGCTCGCAATGCATCTGCTGGGTTGGCAGAATGGAAATCGAATCATTTTGTTTGCCCAAGAGGTGGATCTGGACACACACCCAACGGTCAAGCTTTCTTCCTTATTAAGCTTTGCAGAACTGAGAGAACTTGGGCTTTGTGAGATTCGGACAGCCATTGCTCCGGCCTCTGGCGTGGTGGGCCTAATAGAACGAACAGAGACGGAGAGACAAAGGCAGAAATAAACTCCAAAAGTGGACTCGAAGGCCCTTACAATAGGATCTGTGAAAGTCATGCAGAATTTGAGCCATTTGTTACTCATTTCTAGTTCATGATTTTTGTTCTGAATGTTTGCTCATTTGATTATAATGACCTCAAATTATAAGTGAGGGCCGTAGGGAGCATAGAAAGATGAAATTTTACAAATAGGCTAGTCATTAGGGTAAAGAATTAGAGTAAAACTATGTTATGATGAGGTAAAGGAATATTATGCCTACTATTGGAGGATATGATATGTGAGGTCCTACAATCAAGTGATGGAGTAAGAGTTAAGACTATTGAATGAGAAATTAGAGGTTTGCAAGCATGCCTTTTGATCTCAAAAGTCACTTAAGTAGGAATAAGATTTGATACAATAGGAGATATGAGGGAATATAGGGACAACTTTAAAATATTCTGGGAATCCACTTATTGTAGAGCTTGGGGGTCGTAGCCTATAAAAGGGGGCCGCCAAGCCATTTCCCAAAGCTTGGCAAGCGCTCCCCTCCACTATAAGAGCGATTCTCCACCCTCCTTCAAGCTTATCTTCCGAGGCCATGGCCCAAGCTCCGGCATTCCCCGGGTTTGCCAACCCTTGTAATGCACTTTATTTGCATTCATTGGGAAGAAAGTGGCCATGTGAATACCCTCCGGGTTTGGGGGCACGCCAGGACGGTGACCGATTCGCTTACCCTCGCGAGTCGCGTTGATATCGAGGTCCGACAACAGGCGTTGTTTGGGTTCCCTTACGGCGAGGCAACTTCCCATGAATTGATGCGCCAAAACCGGAAGAGGAAGCGTGAGGAACAAAAGGAGAGGCGGGAGCTCCGGAGGAGGTGTGCGCTTGAGAATGAGGCCAGAAGGGCGGCAAGGGAAGCATGGGCAGCGCAAGAGGAGGAGCAACGAGGTGTGGAAGCTGCGGGAGCAGATCGACATGAAGCTGCTGGCGTGCTAGTTGATAACCCTGAGCCGAACTTCATGATGGTGCCAATTGGGGAAGATGAAGGGTATTCAAAGATCTGAAGTTGATGGGACGCTCCCTTCTTATACCTGAGTGGAAAAGGAATATTCTGAAGCAACTTAGCATATTTGGGTTGAGATACTTTGAAGATGTTGTTGACTATCCATTGGACAATGATTATATGGTTGTTTTTTAACATTTGAAAGTGCTTATAGTGTCTTGACATGATGGTTATAAGGGCTTGACTTAGGGTTTATATCATTGCTTAGTAATGTATTTGTATTGCTTTAGAGCAAGGTGACAAAAGGGAATATGCTGAGTATATTCTCAGCATATCCTTAGAATATCCATAGAAAGATTCTCTGAACAAGGGGTCGAAGTGGGATATATAAGAAGACGCCTTGGACCCTTTAATAACTCGAACAGACTCGGATCCCATTGTAAGGGCCTTCGAGTCCACCTTTTGAGTTCATTTTCCGTTTGCCTCTCTGTCTCTGTTCGTACTATTGGGCCCACCACGCCAAAGGCCGGAGCAATGGCTAATGGAATTCCACAGGATCCGAGTTTGTTCGAGTTACAAAAGGGTCCCAGACATCTTCTTATATACCCCACTTCGACCCCTTGTACAGAGAATCTTTTTATGGATATTCTAAGGATATTCTGAGAATATGCTTAGCACATTCCCTTATGTCCCCTTGCTCTATAGCAATACAAATACACCACTAATCAATGAAGTAAACCCCAAGTCAAGCCCTTATAATCACCATGTCAAGATACTATAAGCACCTTCAAATAATGTAAAAATACAACCATATAATCATTGTCCAATGGATAGTCAATAGCATCTTCAAAGAATTTCAACCCAAATATGTTAAATTGCTTTAAAATATTCCTTTTCCTTTTAGGTATAAGAAGGGAGCGTCCTATCCACCTCAGATCCTCGAATACCCCTCATCTTCCCCAACCGGCACCATCACAAAGTTCGGCTCAGGATTATCAACTAGCACGCCAGCAGCTTCCTGTCGATCTCCTTCCACAACTTCCACACCTCGCTACTCCTCCTCTTGTGCTGCCCATGCTTCCCTTGCCGCCCTTCTGGCCTCATTCTCAAGTGCATACCTCCTCCGGAGCTCCCACCTCTCCTTTTGTTCCTCACGCTTCCTCTTCCGGTTCTGGCGCATTAATTCATGGGAAGTTGCGTCGCCGTAAGGGAACACAAACAACGCATGTAGTCGGACCTCGACATCAACGCGACTCGCATGGGTAAGCGAATCATTCACCGTCCTGGCGTGGCCCCAAACTCGGAGGGTATTTACATGGTCGTCTTCTTCCCAATGAATGCAAATAAGTTGCATTACTGGGTTGGCAAACCCGAGGAATGCCGGAGTTTAGACCATGGTCTCAAAAGATAAGCTTGAAGGAGGGTGGGGGATTGCTCCTATAGTGGAGAGGAGCGCTTGCCAAGCTTTGAAAAATGGTTTGGCGTCCTCACTTATAGGCTACGACCCCCAAGCGCTACAATGAGTAAATTCCCATAATATTCTAATGTTATCCCTATATTCCCTCATATCTCCTATTGTATCAAATCTCATTCTTACTACAACAACTTTTTGGATAAAAAATAAGCTTACAAACCTCTAATTTTCAATTAATAGACTTAATTCTCACTCCATCACTTAATTGTAAAACCTCACACATAATATTCTCCAATAGTAGATATAATATTCTTTTACCTCATTATAACACAGTTGTGTTCTAATCCCTTACTTTAATGACTAGCCTATTGGCAAGATTCCATTGTTTTTTATGCTCCCTACGACTCTCACTCATAATTGAAACTAAGATAATCAAATTAATAAACATTTAGATAGAAAGTCATGAACCAGAAATGAGCAACAAATGGCTCAAATTCTGTGTGACTTTCACAGGCTTGCTTTTTGATTTCTTCAAAGTGTGCGGCAAGTGGCGGGATGGATACAAACATCATGTGTTGTTGGGCATTGTATCACCACATTTGCCACAAGGAATTTTTAAAGTCGAAACCTTGTTACACATGGTTGGCCTCCACTGCCAAGGCAATTGCATGAAATTCACGTGCCAGAACACTAAACTAGCAGTGTGGCCAAATCATGAAATTTGTTAACAATTGTGTTAAAAGTGGACAATCAAATCTCATCACTACTTGCTGGTGCCATCGCTAAACAGTGCATTGTGCACAGGGGCGCCATTGAGTCATCCAACAATGGAACTGAGCCAGATGCCGATCCCATCCCATCACCACAACATCTAACAATCAGTGTTCCTGATTGGCAAATGCGGCTCCAGAAACGTCTCCTCATCCATTACAGAGCCCCATCGCTCGTCTTGAGAATCAACAATCGACATGTCCAAATACTTGGACAATGTCATGGTGTCCCCATTCTTGGCGACCAGGCAAGGGTACTCAGGTGGTGGTGCTTTCCAGGAACCGTCTTCTGCCACCATGTGGCTGCGGTCCGAAGCGAAATTGTCCAAGTACGCAGCCGCTGGAATGACACGAAAGAACCTGCACAAAACAGCGACTCCAGTTTGGGAGCCACAAGTCAAAATGATTACTGGCTACTCTGCCCCGTGTACAATTTACCATTTACAATTTACCGTATTCCTTTTGGCCACACGCACACAATGAACCTTATTTTAGCCACCTCAGCACCTGCATCTCTATTGGTGCCAGCGGCGCTGTTGAATCCTTTCGTTGCATTAGTTGGCACTGCCTTGCTCCTACAAGGCGATGATGGACGAAGCTCTGTCTACAAGTCTGTTTGAATTCTAACAAAGTCTAATATATGGGAACAGAAAATGTATGTTCGAAATTGTTCATGTTTTTTCCTGCAGCCAGAAAATCCTGAGCAGCATGGGATAGAACCTGGTGATGCTTGGCATGTGAAGGGCAGTGCTTTGTGACACATTGGCGATTGCAGTCAGAGCGAATTGCCAGCTTGGGAAGCAGTGGGTGTCATTCCTGAGGCTAACTGTTCATGCAATTGAACAGCCACCCTGCAGGGCTGACAGATTCAAGGACGCTGCACCGTATCGAAAGGCAAATGTTGCCCGAGTGAGGTGGTCAAATGGTTATTGGAACACCAAGGGTGGGCCATTAACAAACTTCCAGATGTGCAGGAAGTGCCTGCTGCCTGCATGTCCTGTTTGATACATTGATGATTCACCTCTATCCCCTTGAACCTGATGTTGTCACCGCTCTGTATGTTACACATATTACCCCAAGTGGAGTATATGTGCAGTGTCAATTCGGTTCACACTTTCGAGCGTCCACAGTACTGTCAGCCCCTTTTGGAATTTGAGACTTTCTCTTCTGCTCCTTGTGACCAATTGGCAGCACTCGTGGCACTCTGCTCAGTGGTGTGTGCGAACAGTGAACATTCTGGGGGCTATCACTTGAACGAAATTCAAACTCGAGTGTGGAACAAGGAATTGAACTACAAAATTGAGCAGAATTTGTGCACAAATTGTCCCAACATGGCCTGCTTGATCCAAGTGCTTCGACACACTCTTGACACATCGCTGACCCATTCTTTACATATTCTAGGTCAACTAAGTAACCAAAAAACACATACCTGTCGAATTGGGTCCCCAGTGCCCAGTCCATGGTCTTGAATGCCTGGCCGGCATAGTCTGCGAAGGGCACAGGGAAGTCAAGCGAGGTGTCCAAGTCCCACACCAGCCAGTCCCCGCTCCCTGCCACCTGGGCCAGATTTTAGGGTTAGGGTTAGGTCAGACTAGGTTCCAGCCAGCCGCAGTACTCTGTACAGACAGGCTGTGTCAGCTGCCATTGCCTGTTGTGTTTGGATTATGCAAGGTATCAGCACTGGAAGATGTTGGGTTTCTGTCCCATGTCTGTTGGTTGTACTGTATCGATTTCGTGTGCTGTCCAGGATGAATGGCGACATATGTCAAAAACGCTGTCAGCACTGCCCAATGCAAGGGCAGTATGCTTTCAGTAAGGCTAACAACAATGGTACTATTGCGTCAACAATCATCGTGAACAGTTAAAGCAGAATTCAACCAGCTGCAGCAGGCACCTTGCCTTCATGGGTGAGCAGCTGTGCTGGCATCCCCCTCTGCCAGATCATGGCTGGCTTCCTTCAACTAAAATTGTTGAGAGACTCTTTCTATGCTGCAGGAGATGATGCACAGGTTTCCAAGAGCAACTACGTGTACGTCCTCATATGCCATGAAGACCTCCTGACAGAGCTGGTAGTGGAACATTTCAAAAGCAAAACTGTCTGAGCAATGAAGTTCAGCAATGACCAAGTTGGTGATCTTATGCCATTTTTGTGTTGCCTATAGGGATGCATTCATTCATTCAATCATCCCAAGTGCAGCAAAGAGATATCAAGCGGATGACGGATGCCTACAGCAGGACCTGCAGAAAAGAATATCATAAATACAATCCCTCTGGAGCTTCTTGTCTTCGTTATTTTTGCCTGAATAGATTACAATCGTCCTTGAACTGGTGCTGCTTCAGTCTCGGGTGATATACCAATTTGGTGGACTCAAAGAATAGATTTGCTGCAAGCATGATCCCCATTGAGACTCCATTTCCGTAAATCCAAAGCAATTCCACCTTCTCAATTTCTTGAGGATTTGGGTTCTGGTATTGGTTTTAAGGAAAGCAAAGTCAGGACACCTATTTTCCCTTTCTGCTTTGGTTGGTGGACACAGGCCCAATGAAGGGCATCATTTTCTGGACTTGTGGACCTCCTTCAAGATCTATCAGGGCAGAATGCAGGCATACAATTTTGGCCCTCCTTGACTTCTGGCTAGCAACAGCAATGGTAACAACTCAAGACAGGTACATTCTGTTTGGGTTTCTAGGCGCATAATCGACTTAACGAAAGCTCATTTGCAATGTTGCGACGGAACAGACATACACCATGACAGCAACAACTTGTAGCTTTGTGTGTGAGGACTTGTGTGACACATGTATTCTAAATTTCCGGGACAGATTCCCAAACTCTTTTCTATTCTTTTCTGTTCTTTCCTTCTCTCCTCTTTTCTTTTCCAAAGTGCTCCTGTGCATCGGCTTTGGACTTGGGTGCTGTGGACATTCTTGAGTGGGCTTTTTAGGGACAGTTGTGGACACCAATCGCCCTCCATCGCATTTCTTGTGAATTGGCCCCGTCTTGGATTGAGCATAGGGACAAACACTTTGGCTGGATGTAATGGAATTTCACATGCATTCCAAAAGGACACCAGCTGCAGCCACAATTATAGAAATGGAGTCTGCCACCCATGCATCTTTCGAGCAACAAATCACAGGAAAAGACAGATTACAGAGAAGAGGAACGCTGGCAGAACACGTAAAAAAGCAGACCCGGTGCTTTCTTCCCTTGGTGTGTTGCGGGCGGGAGGGTGGTTGAGGGTGGGATGGGTAGGGGGCTTTCGCTGAATGCCATCTTTCTTTCTTCCGGTGCTCCCAATTTTCTTCTAATCAGAGCCCCTTGCGCACCTCCTGAATCAGGATCACGTGGTAGTCCCAGATGACCAGCCCTTCGGGGTTGAGCCCCTTGCGCTGCGCCCACAGGGGCACCGTCCGCGACGGATTTGAGATGAACACCGCGAAGAGGGCGCCGGCGTCTGCCGCCAGGCCGCGCTGCAGGAGGGTGTCGATCAGGCGGTGTACGTTCTCCTCGCAGTAGCAGCTCGTGTATGTGCAGTCGGCGCGAGAAAGGGCGGGCGCCGTTGGGGCGGGGGTCATGGCAAGGAGGGGCTATTTGCTGCAAAAACGCAGGGCTCCAAAGTACAAGGCGGGGCACCAGCGCTCCTAAACCTTTGGGGCTGGTGGCACGAAAACTAAACTACTTGTTTGAACTGATGGACAAGATGGAGCCGAATAGTTTTTTCTTTTTTTTGGTGTCTTCTTCGTGGGTAGTAACTCGTGTAGGCGCTGTCGGCGCGACAAAAGGCGGGCGCTGTCGGGGGTGGTTCATGGCAGTGGGAGGTATTGGGCGACCCAATACTATAAAGTACTGCACCGTTCTACAGTAAAGTGTTGCACCCTCCTTGGACCCAATTTGGGTTCCAGGAGGGTACAGTACTTTACAGTGCAAGGTTTGACACCAGGCCCCAAATAGGGGTGCTGCTGGCACGAAAACTAAACAGAATATTCAAACCTCATTTAGAAGTTGAAATACGGGAAGATGAAGTCAACTTGAACACGGAATTTGCTCTCTCCTCGCAGTAGCAGCTCGTGCATGGGCGGTCGGAGCGATAAAGGGACGGCGCTAGGGGCCGGGGGGCCCATGGCTAAATGGCAAGCAGGTGGTGTTACGGCTAGAACTGATTGAGTGTTACTAACAACTGAATGCATGAAAAGATGAAGCACTAGGAACTGCGTTAAGGATGTTGATGAACGGACTGAATATAAAGAAGTACAGAACGCTTGTCGCCCTTTTGCCTCGGCTGTAAACCGTTGCCGTGGACTCGAGCGTACAATTCCCGTTCAGGGATCGCCACCCCTCGACCCTGTCAGCCTTCGTCAGTGGGTTACTAACTGCAAGGAGGTTGCTGTACTTTGGAGGCTGGTGCCAACTGCATGAATTCAATCAAATTCAACTGAGCTACAAGGAGCTACAAGTTAATGACGCGATTCGTGTTCTGCTCCCAACAGCAGCTCGCACTGGCGCACTCGGTGTGACAAAGCATGGTCTGAGTGGGCGCCAGACGCGATCACGGCAAGAGAAGGGACACTGGGTCTATGGAGGCTGCAGTTACTGCAGTAGGCCAGTGTGCCACGAAACAGAATCGAAACTGGCAATTGCACTGACTTTCAACTAAGCTTAGTCAATTCATTAATATCATTAATTCATTAATAATCAAGAAACTGAGGCAGCTGTGTGCTGACGGTGTGCATGACAAGCTGGCGCTGCCAGCAGCGTCGAAGTTGGGATTGGGCATGAAGGTCCTTGTGCGTGAAGGACATGCGACCCAGCGCCTTCCCTCCGCTCTTCTGTTGGGAGCGATCTGCAGGGACGCACTTGACCAGGATTCTTCGCCATTCCTGTGGGCTCCGTCCCGACTTGCCTCCAGGTGGGTGGACCGACCGCGTTGGAAGTGTGGGGAGAAAATAGTCCCACTTTTTGCAACAAAGCCCTGATGGTTGTTTGGGTGCCTTTTGGGGGGGATTGCGCGATGTATTTCTGCGCGTACCCTTTGGCGGCATGGTGCAGGCCACACTCTTGAGCCTTCCTTCGGGGGCGTGCTCAATCATGAGCTGCGGTGCTGGGTATGCACGTCAGCACCTGCGGGGGGCAAAGGCCACTCTCCCCTTTCTAGGGCAAGTTTAAACAATGGGATTCGGCTGGGATGCCGCAGGACAAGGGCTCTGCGCCCGGCATGCTGTGCTTCCAATCCGCGCCACTTTCTCCCGCTCTGCCAATCACATGCCACTGTCTCGTTTCACGCGTCGTCATGAAACGTGGTGCCCATGATCTGGCTCGACCGGCCCTGCGGATCTCGAGTGGTCTGCTTGCTGTGCGGCGCAGTACGCTTGCGGCTTGCTTATCTTCTTTTTGGAGCTGCGTTGTGCGCTGCAGTTGTTCAATTGGAGCAGAAATTACTGTTTCTTTATGTTTCTGGCAGATGATATACAACTCTGTCAGTGGATCGTTGTGGCTGCTTGTCCTGTGGTACTGTGTTGAGCGCTCCAGTCGTTCTAGTCGTTCAATGGGCACAGAAGTCCCTGTTTTCCTGATTCTTCTGTTGACTGATACATGATTTCGTTGCTGGAACATCGTACCTGCTTGCCCTATGGAGTTGTGTTGTGTGCTGCCATTCTTCAGTTGGCGCAGGGGTCCCTTTGGTTCTTGATGTCTCTGGCAGATGATAAATGACTTTGCTGGTGGACGATTGGCCCTGGTCGTCCTGTGCTGCCAAAGCATGATGCAACGCGTCCTGTCGGCAGGCGCAGTGGAGTGAGGCAGCCGTGGTGTTAAGAAAGTGCCATGGGCATGGCCCACAACTGATGTGTGACGAGTTTCCAAGTCATCATGGAGTGAGTGGCTGTGTGTCCAATCCAACTGTCTCAGTGCTATTTCCAGCTGCATACAAAGCCATTTCATCTATGTTGCGCATCAAGATGCAGACCCTTATTCACAAGTTTGGTGGTACGTTCAATTGGGCAGTTCCCTGTTGCTTCAATAGTGGATTCCTAGCATTAGCCTTCCAGCCAAGAAAAGCCAGCGAACAAAATCCAGAGTTTTTGCTATGTGTACAGACTGTGTATCATCTTTGGCAAGCACAGTCCTAGAACTTCCCAGCGTTACAATTCCATGTGAAATGTGATGCACTGTGTAAATGATGTGACCTACTATTTTGGATGCAAGAACAAAGTGCATTCCTTGTAAGACTATGGTGAGCAGCTGTCATGGCACCACAGTTCTTTGGAATCTTTGAGTCCAGAATGAAGCAGAGGGCTTGACACTTGGGCATGCCCAATGGCTGTAAAGCACAACAGTGAGGGTGTGAGGCCGAGATGGAGTGAGAATTGCAGATGGATTACATGGAAAGTACATACTACCCTTCATGCTGTCTGAAGTTTCTGGCACACCCCTCTCGCTCTTTTGATTATCCATTGACAGTATTCAATCCAGCGCATTCTTCAGGACTCATGTCTCCACTTCATTATGCATACAAATATTTGGCTGGTCCACATCTGAATGCCACCATTGGCCACAGGGTCGAACGAGTGCAGGTTACTTTACTATGCGTTGTAAATCCTGTCCTATATGCTGTGCGAGTGTGGAGAATGCAATCCATTGATTCTGCAGCTCTTCATTGTTGCTAGAGTCTGGACTGTTCATTGCTCCATGTTGCAGAGCTTGTCAAGTCTACAACCTTTTGTGATGTGTTGGTGGAACAGTTCATCTTCTTCTCCATGCATTTTGCGAACTATGTTCTTGGATCGCCGCTTCTCCGACATAACCTTGACGGTTTTGGGCAGAGATCTTCTTCTTCACAGGAGCGTTCTGTTCTACGTTCCATACTTCAAACCATTCCTAGAGGGAGCCTGGAAGGATGCGGGATCCAAAGGGATACACATTGCCATTGACGATCCCTTAATCACTGCTCAAACTTTTGAGGACATCATTGCCTCAGTCTACTCTGTGCCGCTGAGCATCACAGAAGGCAATGTCAAGTCGCTTATTGCCACAGCCTCATTTCTCCAGTTGGAGAATGTGTGCTCAGATTGTGTTGAATTTTGCCGTGGGCATCTGTCCCTTGCAAATGTGATTGAATATGCCAAGTTCTCTTACCTTCGATGCTACATTGGACGCAGCCGGCTGTCCCAAGCTTGCAAAGAGTTTCTGTGGGTGCATGCCATGGATGTCAGGAACGACATGCCTGAACTTCCATTTGACCTCCTCTCTGAAATTCTGCAATCTGACAATCTTTGGGTCAGAACGGAGTATGACCGATTCAGGCTCGTCATCGATGTCTTCCAAGCTAAATTTGCTGCTTGCAGCCAACACCGTAGTTTGGATGAAGGAATCGATTCCCTGGCTCCTGCGCCCAAGAGGGAGAAAAGGGAAAGGGAGGCAATTTCTGTCCATATCCCAGCAAACGAGGAATCACCAAAGCCGGTAAACATTGCAGAAGATTGGGACAAGGGTGAAATTGTTTTTGCAGATCTTTTGTCCAAACACATTCGCTACAGTGCTTTTTCCGTTGAGCAAACCCCACTTGCTTTTGCTGAAATAGACCGGCTGCAAATTCCTGTGGCCATGAGGGCCCTAGCTGCTGGCATGATGGAAGCCCATGCATTTCATAGTGCAGTCCTTCTGAACAATGGCTCTGTGGATTTGTCCAAGGTCAGTGTGCAGGGAGGGTGGGAAGGCTTCCGTTTCGGAGTTGAATGGGGCTCCACAGAGGAAAGGGGGTTTGAATCACCACGTCATTTGTATGGAGGTTGGGTTTGGCGGATTTTTTGCATCAGAACTGGCACCCGTGTTAAAGTTCATGTGTTGTGCTCACCATGCATGCCCGAGAGTCAGAACTGCAATGCTCATCTGGAATTCCCTGCAGATGTGTCAATCATCTGCAAGGACAGAAAGAGAGTGGCCCAATCCCAAGATTCGTCACGTTATGTTTGTCGCGATTTTATTTCCCTTGATGAACTGCCAAAGTACGTGACGTGCACGGGGGGGTTGCGAATCACTGCTGTAGTGACGAGGGAGCAGCAACATTCAACAATTGGTGGGTGAATCAGTGTACCAAGCCCTGTGAATGATGACTTGTACGGCAAGAGACACTGTGCAGTGACGTCATGAGATTCCCATTGGCTGGCTTAAGCTTCTGGCTTCTTATTGGCTACGGTGGAGACCTTGCAAGCAAAGGTGACGCTCAGAAGGTCAGTTTGCAAGTGCATTTGGGAACAGCACATGAGGTCAGGTTCCTCCAAGGGGCACTGCTGTCGAAATATCCGCTACGCACAGTATGCATGGGTGACTGTATCAATGGCAAGTGCATAGTTTGTGTTGCGGTTATAGTTGCAGAGTTTAGTGATTCTGAGAAGTGCCGATGTGAACGAGTGGGCATTGTGGTGGATGTAAATGGGCCAGTTTCATTGTCCATTTCGGCCAAAATTGGGGTTATTTAGGCACGGAGAGGCAGCATCTTGTGGACGGTATCCCATCAAAGGAAAATTTCACAGTACGGATGCCAGATTTGTGTTTGAATAGTGGCGTTATCGATGCCTGAACAATTCGAAAATAATTGGTGAAAAGGGGGTTATTCTTAGACAATTGTTGCTGTGCACTCATCGATGTTGCTTTGATGCTCAGGTGCTAAGCCAGCTTGTTGTAGGTGTGACGAGCAATGTGCAGGGTTGAACCTGCTCTAAGTCCCACATAACGGCATGGCTCTCAATTGATATACCGCTGTGGCTTCGAATATAAAGCACGTGCGAAGATAGTTGGGGCAACACATTATCCACAGCGAAAGCCACCTCACGTGATGAGTATGTAGTACCTTCATGGTGAGCAAGTGCCGCCGTGGGAAGGCAGCGGCTGATATTGTCCTGGTGGTGCAAGTCTCTGGGTCTACTGTCGATGACGAAAACACAAAGGTCTGGCCTGATAAATCCAACTCACCATTGTGAGCAAGGCATGGGACATTGGCATCCTGCACTCGTTGTGTACGCATACCAGAATTCCGAATTCCAGCTCAAAGTGGTATACGAGATTCTGCAAGAAAGCCATTCATGATCGTCTGGCTCAAGCCTTCGCTGCAAACCTGGGTCAAATGAACGCCTCCACGTATGAGCGCCATTGTCCATTTCTTGGAATATTGGGACGGCGTGTCTGGGGGCGTGGGACCGCCCGAGGGGGCACTGGAAGGTTCCGTATAGGGACATCAGGGCCACCCCTCCACCCTCCCAGGGAGGGCCTCCCTAGTTGCTTTTGTCACAAAGAACATCGAAGAGCGACACGCATCTCCCGATCAGCGTTGTGCTCAGTTACATGTCAAGTCCCCAGCAGAAGATCTGATGTTCTGCCAACCGATCTTCCCAACTGAAAATGAATCACATTATGCAATGTCTTGTCACCTCAAAGGTTGTAGAACTGCCCACCGCTTGGAACAGAGTCTGCCCATCATTGAACGGCCTTTGGTCCAACAAAGTCACATGAGGATATGCTTCCGAACATGCTATGACTAGGAAAACTTCGCCGTGCGACTTTATGGCCACCATGCATAAATACCGGTGACGGGCCCCTGGTATGCCTATGGCTGTTTTGCTTACCCGCCTATCCCTGTGCCAAGTAACAGGGAACGGGTATGCACATTGTTAAATTCGCCGCTACTCATGTGGCCATGTCGCCCAATGACTGGCCCATGATTGACACAGGGCGACTGACTGGGTGTCAACACATCATGGACCAGTCAGAATGACATGGACAGCCGCTGAGCGTTGCTAGGAAAGCGAGAAAAAGCATGCTCATCACTATGCATTATAGAATGACATGTAAGTGGGATATGAACGCAACACTCGGAGTAAGTTGGATGGTAGCGTCAAAATGTTGCTTCAAGGGAATGGAACCATTGCTACTATGATGAAAGAAATGGGGTAAAATGCCCAACAGTTTAGTATAATAGACAGCGAGAGCGTTTCTGACAATACGCAGGGCCGTTTCTGGCCAACGCAAAGTGCGAAAAGGCAAAATACCGGCGAGGCCCTCGCAAATTTTCTGAAAATTGTCAGCACAGCCGAGATTTCATGCTAGAAACGATGGTCGTTAGTGCAAGTGATGTCGCAACAGCTTTGAGCCCGTTTTAAGGTCTCCATATGGCTGGTCACTAAAATGGATGTTCGAACACCTTAAGTACAGGGGAAATGCTGCCAAAATTTGGCCAGCATGTGGCGTGAAAAGCTGATGGCATTAGGAGTGATGTCCAGTCATCATGGGTGTGAATATGCTGCGAAATTGTAGTCTAGACAATAACCAGAATTACCGCTCTGTGGGGTGTGTTTGATGGCGGCAATGGTATACAATTTATTCGATGATGATCAAACCAGACGATGAACCACATCCATATGAACTGTACCACATTGGGAAGGGTGTATGCACATCGAAGGTCCCGCACCCATTCATATGTGCACGGGGCTGTATTTGCGTTGCAATTCCTCCATCCGTAATCAAATGCCCGGATTTGCTTAGGACGCCGCATTGACATCATGCATTGGTTATTTTTTTGGCTAAGAATCCGACCAGGGCATTTTTTACGAGTCTACCGGTTCCTCACAAAATTTTGCAGAAAACGGATGTGTACATCAGGTTTGGCAGTACATTGAACCCACGGGACTCGGACACTGAATTTGAGGTCTGCCAAGGTCTCCCGGGACCTCCTCAAAATGGCCTCCAGACAGGGTGGCTTTGATGGGCAAACAAGATTCTCACTCGGATTGGAGATCCAGAATTCGAACGAGTTCCTGTCAAGGCCTCTTGAGAAGGCGATGCCGCCATGGATAGGTTGGCTATAGGCGCTAAGGCTACGGCGACATTTTCGGAGGAGGCTGTGGTCACGTCATCATGCAAGGAGCAGAGCATTGCCAGGAATGGCATTTCCGTGCATACCCACGAGTTGCACTTTCAGTGCCATTTCCACCACTTTGAAGCAAACTACCGCGAGAGATTTCTCGCGCCAACCACGCAAATCGCAAGTGCCGCCCGCATACAGACAGCCAGGTTCTCTAAGTGTATACCCACAATATCCAATGTCGCATTCAGCGACAATTCATGCCGTTTTTAGCAGAGGTGTTTGAACACCAAGGAGTCATTAATTGGAAATCCCTAGCGAACGGAGATCTCCAGACGTAGGCAGCTGCTCTCTGGTTTTTCTCGGAACACAAGAAACTCCTGGCGATCGCGGATCCCTAATATGTTGGCGCATCCTCTGCAAAGGGCATAGCAGATCTTCAGGATTTGGCGATGGCCGGAACATACACAGCCGCCATTTCCTGCGGCATCCAGCGCGATCGACGCTGATCGCAGGGCTAGCACACGAGCAGCGTGGGCAGCACCACCCTTTTGGCACCGTGGATTTCCAGGGAGGGCGTCCCGCTCTTGTGCAGGGCCTGCGGGATCGCGGATGCCAACTTTTATCGTGTTTGGCGAACGCTGATGAGAATTAATTCTGGTCGAGAGTGGTGAAATTCGACGTTCTGCCAAAACCTGTTGTACTTCTATAGAGGGTAATCTAGTCGCATTTTAAAAAGCAAGTGTGTGCTACAAATAAGCTCCCAAACAAATCCGGGCATTTTATTCGGGAGGGAGGCAGCATTTACGTATTTTTATGCATTCTACGCACGAAAAAGTAAAAACTACTTTTACGCGTAAAAACACAAGCACAATATGATCATTTTTACGGCATAAAAAACAACCCTTGTATACTATAAGCGTGGTATTACTTTTCAAGTACCAACACCACTTTGTTGCCGTTTGCTGCCCATATTGGTGTTTCTTCTTCTTTAATGGGTGTTTGAATTTCCCCGCGTCCTCTACCATGCCTCTCTAATCTTTTGATCGTATTCTCAGCCCCCGCCGACTCTATCTTCCACGTACAGGGACTGAAGCTTAATAATAATACCAGCTGCGTACTGGCTGTTAGCCATTAAATGCTACTGAGCACTTCCCTTGAGGGCTAATGATTGTGTCCACTTTGCTGGCAATTGCTGCGACTGGAAGGGAGATTTGCTGCCCTTTGGGTCGAAGGAACAATTCCGAGTCCGACAAGCACCCCAGATCGAGGTGGCCGACGAGTTGCGACGACATATTTTCAACATGTATCGTATGCTGTCATATGCTGTCGTGAATAGACAGTACATACGGACCTAGAAACTTGTAATGACCTGTTAGTACTTGTAACTTTCCAGGCCCATTTTTACCGTCTACGGATGAGCAGCCGTTATCCCACCCCCCCGGCTCGCCACCACAATTTCCCTGTTGCCACAAGGGGCTGGTGCAGAATGAGCATCCCCTCTCCAACAATGTTTGTCGATTAGACATTGGTCATTCTGGGAGATCCCGTTCAGCCCTTACATGCCTTGAGATTATCGAAATCATGTATTAGCAGCACGTGTCGCGCTACAATGCTTACGTATGCTATCTGCGCTTCTGTTTGAAAGGCAGAACGAGCTTATTTCATGCATTTTGTTCATTTATGTGTCTATCACGTCAAGTGCCTTCCCAGTCATCCTCCACCATGGACGTCCTCAGATGTTATGCTCAAATTCTTCAGTACAATTGCGTTCAACATTCCTTGCACTTAATTGTGTGGCCAAAATTCGCCACCGGTCACATCCACCAATATTATGCTCAAATTCTTCAGTACAATTGCGTTCAACATTCCTTGCACTTAATTGTGTGGCCAAAATTCGCCACCGGTCATATCCAACTGGCTTGCCATGCTCACTCTTCAGTACAGGTTCAACATTTCAGCATCTTTACCAGCCAAATTCGCCACCGGTCATATCCACCAATATTATGCTCAAATTCTTCAGTACAATTGCGTTCAACATTCCTTGCACTTAATTGTGTGGCCAAAATTCGCCACCGGTCATATCCACCAATATTTCGCCCATCCCAATACTCAGCTTCCCGTACATTCGTCCTGAGTGGCCCGTTGCGCCCTTTTGAGCAGGTTTGGTATTTGCTCCATCAACACAAATCGTGTTCGCGTTTTTATGGGTATAGTGCTCTTACCTTTTGCATGAAAATACGTGAACGAAACGTAAATGCAGCTCCGCGTACATATGGACAGTACATACAGACTTGGGAGTCCGGGAAGTGGCAGCCAGGCGCGCTGGAATAGGTATAAAATGAACTTTTGTCTCATGCCGTCGTTGCCCTTGCCGAGGGCGAGGTGGGCACTGTGTTGCAGAAGCTGGAGATGGAGGAGGACTGGTCATTGTACGCGACTTCAATTGTGTAACCTGGGTGTCTCAACGAGATGCAAAAACGTACAAAGAGCTACAAGAACAGCAGCTTTTGCAAATTTACGATTGCACGCATAAAAACGTAAATGGAAATTGGTAAACATAAATGCAAATACCAAGCCTGCTTTTGAGGGAACCAGTACGAGACTCAGGACACGGAGGTG